CAGTTACCCTGCGAGTTTATAAGTGTGTAATGAAGCATCATGCTTGAGAATTACCAAATTTGATTATATAGGTCTAAAGAGGATAAATTATTAAGCACGTTTGGGTATTATGAGTTCAGAGTTTTTTCTGTGAGAAAAAATAAACATCGTCATGCGTAAGAGACTGTCCAGGACTCGAGAGACAGGAAAAATTGATTCTGAGAGCTTGCATCGGTATAAAAGGTGAAACAGATCAGTCAGTTTAATTTGCTTGAAAATGTGATTTGCTGCTGGCTCGTGACATCTCCAACGTGAGTGTAAATGACGACTATGCATTATTTAGCAATAAATACCTGCATTTTATAAGAAGATATTTAGTTTTGTGCATCTTCTTTCGTGCTGAAAAGTTTTCAAGTACTTTTATTCTATACTTTCTTATTAACACACTGAATAAGAAATATATCTACAATAAGGAAGTCGTGATGAAAAGGTACTAAATCAGGCACTTGCAAAAGAATCGAAAAAACAAAAAGGTTCGATATCCAGGAGCTTCAAATTTTGAAGTTCCGGACAGCCATCATTTTTACTTTCCCGTGTACATAAATGGAGTATTGTACGTAGTATAGGGAAGGTTATCTAATGCTGTGAAAAAATACAGCGAATTTTTGGCAGAAAAAATTCATTGCCGGGCCCCGATACCAAAAAAGTGGATACATCTAATTGCTAAATTCAGAAAAAAATCAGCTAACTCATGGTGAAGCCAGGCATCCTGCTTTGTGAGTCCTTGATACCGAAAAAACAATTAACTACTATTAGGAAACCGAAAAATTAAGAAAATGTAAAAAAAAAGTGTACTTTAAGTGCCGATAGATGGCAGCTAGCATGATGGTGAGGCAAGTCCGAATACCAAGCCGAGACCAAAGGAAATAGAAAACTAATATGGAAAAGTCTGTGCCATTCTGTAGCACCACTAGTTTCGTAACATTAATTGTTGAAGAACACTATAGACGTCAGAGTTTACAAACAACGAAACGTTTATGCATAGAAATATGAATATATATTTTTAGAACAGTTTTCCACCGTTAACCCAAAACCGACAAAACGTAACCTGAACGACATTGAAAACTTTTGTTGGCTCCAATTCAAATTGTACTGATATATTGGTGTGATTTATTTGAGCATTTTTTTACATCCCTTATTACATTAAGTATGCATTCGTGTTTGCATATCCTCCAAGATTTCAGATTGTTATTTACAAGAAAAATATTTATAATCGAATAAATACATGTCTGAAGATCAAGTTTTCTTTACAAAATTATCTAACTATGAGTATGCTTATAAAAACTGTTTTTTGCAAAACATTGCATACATTCTCTTTTTGTCTGTCAGCCACTCGCAATTCAGATGCCCCCACTAGAATGCAAGTTAACTTTAAAAACAATGCTTAAGAAATATGAATAACTATAAAAGACATAAATAAAAAAAAGATAACAAACTGTACCAAGTTTTCATTGCCCTGTTTTTGCAAAAAGTACTTTTCGAATATTAACAATATTTATATCATTGCATTTCATTTTTAAAGAACTTGAGTATGAGATTTAAAATGATGGAGAAAAAAAATATATACTTCCATTTAAAAAACCAAAGTTGGGTCAATATCTCTAAAATTACGTACGGTAATAACAAAAAAACGAAATATGTAATTTGCCCCATCATCTGCAACGGTATGTTGCAAATATCTTCTCGATACCTCAATCCGTTTTGAAAATATTTGCTGTAGCCAACTTAGGCGGTCTACAGGTATAAATAATATTGGTCCAGGACGCGAAGTCGATGCGACTTTTGAAGTAATTCGTAGATTTCTCAATAGCATAGCCAGAGTTCTGCAGCGCGTAATGTTGCATTGGTCAACATTATTCAATTGATCGAATTAAATTACAGAATGAAATTATATAGTAACGTAATCCATGCAATGTGTTCTCTATGACACCGTGATTAGTGTGAGTTCAACTGCGAGTTTTCGTTGAGCCAACGCTTCGACCGCAATGTTAATTATTCGAATTCTTCCTAGAAGTTCCCTGCAACATAGTAAAAAATCCTGAAGAGATAGGTGAAAATGGCGATTGTATTTAAAATACTGGTGTGTAAGTGAATGCTTCATTTCATAGTAAAACAGAATAGAATTATTATGGCTACGATATTGGAAAACGCATCCATAAGTGTCATTCGCGTGTCACTAAATAAGGTTGAAACTGTAAGTTCTTGCAACTAAACTCACATCCGCATGATGGAATATCTGGAAGAAGGAAATTTGATGCGCCACAAAATATCAGAGCGGACGATATTATTCCATAATATAAAAGTGTAAAAGTTAGAAAAATGCCTGCCATAGAACTATTTTCTGCGAGAACTGCAAGAGAGTTGGTGTACAAGTAAATTATGCCAGAAGAGTTATTTTTTTGATTTCATAATCATTATCTTTAAAAAAGCTTGGAGCAGCATTTAATCGTGAAATTCGTTGACGAAACCACTGTAATATTATAAAAATATTGTGCTGGCTAGCCTATCCCAGCCTCGTGACTAGCTGTTGGTCAGCGTGCTCGCTTTGCACTACGTGACCCCGTGTTCGATTCCCGGTGAGACAAGATTATAGAGTGCGCTTTCCTTGCTATGTCCCGGAATATGTTGCTATGTGAGGATGAGAAAATTCGCTTCTCAAATTGAGAAGACCGGAATACGGCGTGGGGGTGTCTACGTGCTAACCACACGTGTCGTTTTAACCCTCGGCCGCGAGGCAGGGACGAAGCCGGTAGGTCTGAGCCCGGAGGGATGCGCGAACTTATAGGTTTCAGAGGAGCTGTGTATGTAAATACCTTTTTTTTACGTTTAAATTTGGGAGCGTATTGCATTCCACGAAAAAAGAAACACGCACACACTGAGGAGAAATCACAGTCCATTTATTTCATTTTATTAAACATAATTTTGTAACAATTCTGTTGCAAAGTTGCAGTCTGTTGCAATTCAAAACAGAAGAAGTCATTAATGAAGGTGTTCTTAAAGTTCTTCTTATTGTATAAGATTTTTGAAAATTTTCAACTTTTTTTGTCAAATATCAGTCGGTGTTCATAAATGCATACCTTCTTACTATTTATTTAAGTTTTGATCGTCAGTGTTGAACCAAATCCTAAAAATCTCCACAAAATCCTACTTCACTCTTCTTAAATGAAGCTACTTTGGACATCAAAGTTACGCAAAAGTTGTATTCACGAGTAAGTAATAATCACGAGTATTGCTGCCTCTAGAAAGAACTCAATACTCGCTCATCATGAGACTCGGAAAGAGGTTTACCTCTCTAAATATAAATGTTAAAGAGTGGATAATGATCTAGTGATTTGCAATTTTTGTTAAGTGCTTAATCGACTCAGAAGAAAACTACAAATAGTAAATGAAAATCACTGGCACGGATTCCAAAATGGAGTTAACTAGATTTGCCCAACGAGTACGGATTTTCATTTTTCTATGATTAATAATAATAAATAATAATAACAACAACACAATAATAATAATATATTAATAATAATATAAATAATAATGAATAATAATATAATTCAGAAGAAGATGAGTATTTTTTCGAACATTTCAAAAACCATTTTGTAAAAAATAATAATAATAGAACACAAGGTGGATTGGGAGTTTTTGAAAACGATTTTTTATTTTTATCGGTAGGATCGAAGACGAGTTAAAGCGTGAAAACACTGACAAAATCATAGTTCTAGTTATAAAAGAAATAAACAACGCCACAATAATAACTTTATTATGGATACACATGAAATATATATTGATTAAACAGGTAATTAACTTTTTATCATATTGGTGCGTTGGAGCTGGGAGTGGTAACACAGTCACAGGAAATACTTTTCGGCAACGCCGACTGCTTGTAACGTATACTGAATTGGTGTACTGCTGGTCCTTTGCACGCATTTGCATTAAATGTTAAAGTGCGAGGCGCGCTGTCGCGCCGGCACCGCGGCTCTCGCAGCCGAAATCGGCCGGAGACAACGCGGCGGATCGAACGTCGATTCGCGGCGCCGTACAACTGTCAAGCCGCGCGACGGCGGAGGAGGGGGACAGGGAGGGGGAGGGTGATGCGGTGATGGCGAGGAGGTTTAAATGATCGGGAGCGGTGCGTATTGGGGCTTGGGCGGCTCGGAGCGGCGCTGCCGCTGAGGGTGGTTGTGGACACTATGGGGCAGGAGCTTGCGCGGTCGCCGCAGGCCGGGGCGGGCGGTCCGCCGCTGGCCGGGGTCTGGATAGACGTGCGCGCGCCGAGCCACATGCGCGCGGGGGCGTGCGCGGCGGCGGGGGCGGGGCCGCGCGTCGAGGGGAGGGGCGGGCGCCGGCGCGGGGGCGGCCGGCGGCGGCGCGCCAGTCGATAGCTGGCGCAGGCCTGCCACCGGCGCGCTCCGCCGCCGGCGCCCCCTCCCGAACGTCACCGCGCGCGCAGCGGACAGGCCGCATGTCACGCGAACCTGCCGGCGGCCGCGCGAACTAGGCGCGGCGCGCGGTCGCACAGCCGCTGCGCCGCCACCGCAGCGTCGACAGCCTCGCGCGCTGAAGACCTAGTGAGGACGCAGCCCGAGAGCTGACCGGAAAGCGCCCCGCGCGCGGCCACCGCCGCAGCCTCGCCGCGGTTGTCGCCCGCCGCCGGCCGTGCCGCCGCCCCGGCCCGCGACGCCCGGGGGCGCCCCAGTGCGCTGTGTGTTGTGCCGTACACGTGCGTCAGACGGACGCCTCCGCATCACCACGTGACCTAGTGCGCGAAGTGACAGTCCGCTGGTGCCCGTGACCGCGAAGTACGGGGCGTTGCAGTGTGCGACGCTCCCAAACACAACACATTTTATAAAAAAAAATGAGTGCTGGTGGGTGAGGGTGGAGGAGCTTGTGCGTGAGTGCAATACTATGGTGGTGGTGTGCCGATTGCGCTGAGTGAGAGCGCGTATCCGGTGGTGGTGTGGTCGCCCATGGCGCGCCGCGCGGCCGGCGGCGGGTCGGCGGCCTGTCCGCTGCCGCCGCTAGTCGCCCGCGGAGCCCAGCGCTTCTTCGCCTCCTCTGCGCCGCGCAGCGACGATGCCGCTGAGGCCCTCGCGGCCGCTCCCGCTCTGCGCCTGAGGAAGAGGACCCTCGCCATGGCCCACGCCCGACTGCAAGCCAACCCCGCTCCCGGCGCCGCCGCCGCCGCCGCCGCCGCCTTCGCCCAAGCTGGGCCTACCCGTCGCAAGGACGCCGCGCTGCTCCTGCTGCTGGTCTCGCTCGCCGCGCTCTTCAAAGGCACAGGTACGCTTGCAGCGCCGACACTCCGCCGGCCCGGCTCGGCCGCCCGGCTGGCGTGACAACTGTGTGCGCTCGGTACTTGCAGGGAAGACGCTGCCATGTTTACGCGACGTACAGTTGAGTAAGCTGAGTCGCAAGAGAAATGTTGTCCTAGTTCTCCGAGTCTGCTTTGGTGTTGCTTCGTGTACATGAGGAGCCAGAAATTCTCCTTACGAGGGCTTTCTGTTCCTTCCGTCTACGAGCCTTTCAATATTTCAACGCTAATTCTTCACTTTTGTGTGTGATATGTGCATTAATTCTCGTGCCGTCAACGTGTTTTATAAGCAAACTTGATGTTGGTGTGTATTGCGGGGCCAGTGCTAACCTGTATATACTCATTCCACGAATGCCTGAAATTGAATAAATTTGAAATTCAACGAACTGGACAAATTGTGGTCATAAAATCAACATGCTTTTCACGAATGAAATATTTTTCCAAGCCACTAAATATTGCATTTTTGGGGCAGACATTATCCAGATTTATCCATTAAATGTAATATTTGCGCAATTAAATATTTATAGAACAATTAGGATAAGCATAAATGTGGATATTAATAATAGATACAAACGTGTTACGCCACAAGAATATAACTAAAGGTAATTTCAGACTATATTCAGAAAAGACACGAGAATTATTTTATATGGCTTTATGAAGTGTTAGGGATGCAAATTGATCAAAATTATGAATATTAAGTATTTAAATAGCGCTATTTTAAAATAAAATTTTGCGCAAAAAACGAGACTATTTTCTGCGACCATTTCCAAAAAATATCACTAATAATGTCAAACTTTTCTAATTATATCCAAAAGGACATCAATTTTGTGAATTATTCGAAAAGCAGAATCATCCCCGAAAACAATTTCTAGTACTGTACGCATGCGGTTTTATTTCCTGTGGTGTGTAGGGGAATTTCAGTAGTGTGTACGTGGGCGCGTATTTGTAACTGTAAAATTTTATCCCTTGTAGGTATTTTATTTGTAGAATCTTGCACTAGAAATGTTGGATACTAGAATATCAATAGTTGAGCGGAGGACAATCGGAAATCGGGCTTGTGGCCGTGCTGCCACTCGGGGGCTGTCTCCAAAGCGGGCGGTTTCCGTGAATTCTTTTCTTCCGTGCCGGCGGACAGGAAGTGCCAGGTGCCAAAGTCACACTTCAAACACGACAACGACCGAGTTCCGCATGCACCTTTGGTTTCGAATAAAACAATACTCCATTTCGAAGTAGCTGAAAATTCTTACATTTTTCAGCGAATTGGCAAACGGGCAGAGGAACGCGCGACTGTAGATTTCGGTATTATTTGTATTATGAAATTGTTAACTTTTTTTGAGATTTTATTTCTATGGATGTATTTGACACGCTATTTCAAAACGTTCGAAATTCAGCGCGTACAAAATGTTTAAAGATATCCTGTCAATTTTATATGTTACCCAGCAATTTTGTATCGAGTAACTCATTTTGTGGTTGAATTGCTTAATTTATTATTAGGAAATCAGAAGTGTTTGTTGTGTTATCGTACGATGCGTTCCCTGTAATGCGTGTGTTCAGAATTAATTTGCTTAGTTGCGGCGCATAGAGTACTGAAATTTAATAAGATTTTCCCACTTATCGCGCGCTTTCGCGGAGAAAGAATTATTTCCTAGCAACATACATTCAGTCTATGCAATACTCACGTGCGACACACAAAGCTTAATGTGTAGACCGCACCCATTGAACTGTAGTAATGAGACATCATGGGGTTACTAACGTCACACTTTTCCGTATAAATAGTGGTTGTATAAATGATTTTGAATGTAATAAACAATAATACATTATACCCACTATTATTTTAATGAAATTAGTTTACTTATAAATTGCAAACATTAGAATTGAACTCTTCCGTCACACACCGTTAATACTTTACAACTTGCAATCATTGTCAATGGAAAATTTCTATTTTGATGATCCAGTTTCAGTACACAATTCATTCTAATTTAAAATATATTCTCAATTAACCGTAACTTGAAGAAAATGAAGCAAAAATGTTCGATTCAGCGAAACTCCATCCACGCGGGACCAAGTTTTTCAGCGCCGTAGAACTGAAGAACTGGATTAAGAAAGTAATTTCAAATCATTTTATAAGAAAATAAAGCATTAAGAACACCAGAGTATCCAACATTTTATTAATCGATCTAATTTGACTACTTATAAAAACGATGTAAATTGTTTGATTTTCGGAACTGAACAAAAAGTCATTCACCATTAACCAGTACTTGTAAAAATTTTTAGTTGTCAAGTGTAATTTGACGTCGATCTATTTATGTAACAATATTCAACGGACAAATATTTTCTGCATACTTACTTTTTCCTAAAAGAACGTCCTATACATGCTCCACCACTCTGACTTCTGCAGAGCAAACCATAAATAGCAGACTCTAAGAATCTGGTCATTGTTGACTATATGGTCTGCTGAAATGTCTGAAAGGGTTGTCAGAAATACGTAAGTCAACCCAAGATTTTTTGAATTATATGATATTGTAATGAAATTTGTATGTTTGTTAGTTAATTGATCAAAGATGAATACTCCATAGACAAATTATCACTCATGCAAAAAGTGAACAAGACGTTATATCGAAATTCCACATGTAACATGTTTTAGTTTGACTAAATATATAAATGATCAAAATTCATTTTATATGAATTTGAAATTAGGAAAGTTTTCGTTCTTTGTTCTTCACACATATTACATTGAAATTATTCATTTTATATAATGCTACATAGCAAGGATAGCAAGGATAAAGACAAACTCATTGCTTACTTTTTTAATAATACAGAAATATAAAGTCTCTAATTTATCACATTTTGTTTTGCAACTGTTGAAAGGGGCAATCAAAATTAGTGGCAATGAATTATCATTTGATCAACATTTCAAATTGGCATACATACTCAATAAAAAGATATGAATAATCAGTAATTTTAATTTACATGCCGGCTCTCACATTACACGGATAAATTCAAATTACACGCGTAAAATTTTTGGTCTCTTTGTCTCTATTTGCATTAGTTTCACGCTCTATCTTAATGAAAGGCTTTGAACGTCCGTCCAACACGAATTATATGAAACTAAATCTCTACAATACGAATTTCGTTACTTAAAAGTATATTTAGGTAAATGTCTATGTCTCTTCCAATTATTGGTTTTCTAAGCGACAAAACAGTCAATGTGACTAACAAATAAGTATTATTTTGCATTGTAAATGGACGAAAGAGAATTTACGATATATGAATTGAACTATAATGAATTTTACGACTAATGTATAAGGATTTCATTTGAACGATTTTTCGCGTTGAAAATAATGATACATTTTTTTAAATGTGGGCAATATATTATTTTATGTTGTTTGGGATAGTATTTTTATATAATAGTATTTTTTAGAGAAGTCGAAATGTCTTTCAATTCACACATAGTTTGTCGTGTTGCAAAATTTTGAAATGATCAGATTTGATGATTTGAAAGTTTGAAATGATCAAAATTTGTTCATGGAAATGACGAACTTTAAATGTTCAAGTATTCAGAGAATTTTTCTTCTTTGTTCATCTACAAGAACAAACTTGTTTCACAAATGTTCTGTTTTTCAAAAGAATGAATGATTTAGTGATGATTTAGTTAATGAGCTACGAAGTATTTGTACGCATCCAGCTAACATTTACCACGAATGAATATGAGTTAAAAGTGAAACCTCCAAACCGCGTGTATTTAAAATACTACTTGTTAATGAAGTTGTGGTTCTATAGTGGCTATTGAGAGAATAGAACATTGGTGTTTCATCAGGACGTGCACACCTAAGCGCTGAAGCCAAGACTTGTAAATTAAAAAAAAAGTAAATTGCTCTCTTAGTCGTCACTTGCAAACATCTTCCTTTGATTCATTTAGTTATTCTATTGCGCAACATGACTGATCATGCTGCTTACATATTGCATATTGCTTTGCCAAATTAAAATTTGGCACTAGAAGAAAATTTAAGTTACTACAAACATTATTTTGGCTCAATAGGAGAAAAAAAAAGATATTGGATTTTTATCACTTATCTCTGTAACCTACTGTTTTATTTACTAAAAGTAACACTAGTTCTTCAGGAGTGATAGAAAATCAATTTTATCCGGACCTCTCAGATTTTGCAATTTTCAACCTAACTTTTCTTTGAAACTTAACATAACTATTATTTGACAACTTTTGAATAGTATCTTTCAAAATTTATTCATGCTTTTCTTTATCGTATGAACGTAACGTATCCGTTTTTAAAATTAGTCAAAATGGCCTGCAAAGACAAGTTGATAATGTACTTGGGGTAGTAAACAGAATTGTGGAATTCCAGGAAATGGCAACCGATTTTCATCACCAGATCATGTTTGAACACAGAGTGAACACCCTGAAACATGTTTAGGATATTAAAGTAACTGTATTTTGTAAAATTATTTCATTTAATTAATTCATAAACGTAGTAATGCGTTACAATTCTACCTCTTGACATGTTTTTGCTAAAACTGACTATTGTTTTGAGTGTTTGAAAGCAATGGCTTTATAATGAGCTATTATATAAGATACGGAATACTTTGGAACTTTTCTGTGTCATATTACAGTAACAAATGAGAATAATATGATGACATAAATGATAAAACAGTGAGAACCCTTTTAACATAATATGTTAAACTTCATAGCTTCATCATTTTTCTGTAATCAATTTTACGAGAATGATTGAGCATGTCGTATTTTCTTCCTTCCTGTAACGTAATGTTAATTTCTAAGTAAATGACGGATACTCTTTACTCTATATTTAAATTTAATATAAATTCAGTGCATTATACTACTAGGAAAATTATGATAGAGTTGTCCGCTGTTAGAAAAGCTTCCATCTCGTGGTTCTAGCGTTCAAATATTTCTACGAATATATACCGTTGAGTCTTGTATAATATTTACTCATAA